CTCCGGTGAGACGGCCGCCTTCCTCGTGCCCATACTCAACCAGATATACGAGGCGGGGCCCGTCAAGCACATGGGGTAAGTTTGCGCAGCGCTCGAACATAGCACATGCGCGTAGAACCAGAGTAAATACAAATGAGTAGGTCATCTTCATAGAAACGCACCGAGCGCGGTTTGTATGTGAGCGCGCGCCAATACGCATGCGGCGCGCACGCAGACACCGACAAAATTCAACGCACCTCATCGCTAATCCACGCTAAATTTTGTCAGTGTGTGCGTGCGTGCCGCATACGTATTGGCGCGTCCACATATAAACCGCGCCCGTGCGTTCCTATGAAGATGACCTACTCATTTGTATTTACTCTGGTAGAACGTCATAGTTCACTCACTAGCAGCTCCGGTAAGACGGCCGCCTTCCTCGTGCCCATACTCAACCAGATATACGAGGCGGGGCCCGTCAAGCACATGGGGTAAGTGTGCGCACCACTCACTAGCAGCACTAGAGCCGCGCTTCTGCATAACACTTGCATGCAGAACGTCAAGGCTTGGCGTTATACGAGCCGGGGTCCAATGAGTATGATAATGAACTGCTGTAAGTATGCGCAAGACGTCTTGGCGTGCGCGAATACCGGCTCCGGCAAGACGGCTGCCTTCCTCGTGCCCATACTCAACCAGATATACATATACGAGGCGGGGCCCATCAAGCAAAGTGTGCGCAGCACTCACTAGCGACGCTCTAGAACTTGCGCTTAGGACTTGCACATCGGATAAATGCACTTTAGCAGTCGCTAGAGTTGTACCCCGTAGTGTCGCGAGATCTACATTTAAAATCAAATAATATTTTTTCAATTTAAATGCAAAGGTCTCATTTATTTATCTATATATATAAAAGAAAGTCGTGTTAGTTACTTCGCTTATAACTCAAGAACGGCTGAACCGATTTAGCTGAAAATTGTCAGGGAGGTAGTTTAGAGCCAGGAGAAGGACATAGGATACTTTTTATCCCGTTCGAAATTAAAAAAAAAGTCTGCTTATTATTGCCATTAAGGCGGAACAAAGTTCGCCAGGTCAGCTAGTTGTTTTATAAAAGTATTTTATTTATTTTTGTTTTGTTTGCAGGCCATTTAACAGACGTAAACAGTACCCTCTGGGGTTGGTGCTGGCGCCGACGCGCGAGCTCGCCACCCAGATTTATGACGAGGCTAGAAAGTTCGCCTACCGCTCTCGTGTGCGGCCTTGCGTCGTGTAAGTTCCATACTCACATTCACTTACTACACCTAGCTTCTGTCTGTATCTTCGCCTGAATTTCGGTTTTTCACAGAAAGAGAAAGAAAACACATGCGTGTTTCTAAAAGTGAAAGCCCTTATGGTGTGAAATCTTATCAGAGTGACATAATCAATTTCAAATTTTAAAACACCCACTTGTATTACTATTTAACACTTACGTGGTATGAGCGGGGAGTGTGTTTGTAAGACAAAGAGATTCGTGTCGCACGACATTCTACATTTTGTGTAGAAGGTAAACTTCTACAGCTCAACTTTCATGGAAATATGTCCATGGAACGTTCTGTAAAAAGATTTAAAGTTCAAAATCCACCTTCGGTTGACTTACAGTCGAAGCTAAAATTTGCCATTTATCCTTCAGATACGGCGGCTCCCCGATCCACGAGCAGCTACGCGAGCTAGAACGTGGTTGCCATTTGCTGGTGGCCACGCCAGGCCGCCTGGTCGACATGCTGGTCCGCGGCCGCGTGGCGCTCGACCACTGCCGCCATCTGGTGTTAGACGAAGCAGACCGCATGTTGGACATGGGCTTCGAGCCGCAGATCCGCAAGATCGTGGAATGCCACACCATGCCGAAGACTGGAGAGCGCCAGACACTCATGTTCTCGGCGACTTTCCCGAAGCAGATCCAAGTGTTGGCGCAAGATTTCCTGCACAACTACGTGTTTTTGGCCGTCGGCCGCGTTGGGTCCACGTCGGAGAACATTACCCAGAAGGTAAGATCTTGCAATTAAGTAGGTACTGTTCTGAATGCTATAAAAAGCATCATGCTCTGCTGGACGAAGCAGACCGCATGTTGGACATGGGCTTCGAGCCGCAGATCCGCAAGATCGTGGAATGCCACACCATGCCGAAGACTGGAGAACGCCAGACGCTCATGTTCTCGGCGACTTTTCCGAAGCAAATCCAAGTGTTGGCGCAAGATTTCCTGCATAATTACGTGTTTTTGGCCGTCGGCCGCGTTGGGTCCACGTCGGAGAATATTACCCAGAAGGTAAGATCTTGCAATTAACTAGGTTCTGAATGCTTTAAAAAGCTTCAAGGTGTACGGGACGAGGCAGAGCGCGTATTGGACATGGGCTTCGAGCCGCAAAATAATCAGGTTTTGCGTGACTTTCCCCAAGCACATTCAAGTCTTGGTGCATGATTTCTGACAACTTCATTATAGTCTGTGGAGTGTATATCAACTAAATAAGATGCTATATTGTGTAGTATGATGTGCTGGTCTTTGCACAATGTACAGTTTAGAAATAATGGTTAAAATATTTTGTTTATTAAAATATTATATTTATTTTTTTCCAGGTGGTTTGGGTGGAAGAAATGGACAAGCGTTCATTCCTATTGGATCTGCTGAATGCCTCCAATCTGCTCCAGCGCTCGCGTCCCGAAGAGGACCAACTCATCCTCGTATTCGTCGAGACTAAAAAAGGTAAATATTGGATAATAAAATAACCTAACAGTTGCAAATAACGAGTTTTATCCTTTTGCTAGAAGGTATTCGTGTAAATTATAACCATTTTCTTTAACTTCACCTTAAACAGGAAGCTTAAATTAGGAATGTTTGTTACCGACTGCATAAACAAACATCTGACTTGGCAATCGTCCAAACTGTACAGTACTTTGGTCAGTTTATGCTAATGTATTTTGAACCATAATTTAAACTTTATGGAAATCTATACAAATCAAACTACATATCTATCAGTTCTCAAATGAGGTATGAAAATATGGGCAAGAAAGGAGATGATCACGGTGACTAGATTAAAATTCTAATACGCATTTAGCAGTGGTTGAGTTCTCTGCTACTACGCCAGAGTCGCCAGAGCTTGCGAGTTCGATCCTCGCACAATACAAACATCTCGGTGTTTGTATTGTTCGAGAATGTCTAAACTCTAAACTTTTGTCAGATGTATGTTATTGGAACTAGATGGTATACAATTTCCACTGATTCAGGACTAATTCCACCACTCTTTTTTTTCTTTGTAACACCTATGTATCACCACTGTAACACCTTTGTCACCGATGTAGCACCTATTATGTATCACCAGTGAGCGCCACAGAATGCGACTCGCATGAAATACAATATTGCAAACTCAAATGTGTCCCTACACTTTCACTACATCTATAGGCCAGGATCTATTTTGACTTCGAATGAAACCCAAAGGTAGGGTAGTCTGGGATCTGGGAGATAATATCTCTGAATCCGCAAGTATTTTGTCAGAAGAATATAGGATTTCGAAAAATGTCCACGGGTTTTTATTCATGATTGTTTTTATTCGTTCAGGCGCGGACCAATTGGAGGAGTACCTGGACACGCAGGGCTACCCGGTGACGTCGATCCACGGCGACCGCTCGCAGCGCGAGCGCGAGGAGGCGCTGCGCCGCTTCCGCACCGGCCAGACGCCCATACTCGTAGCCACGGCCGTCGCCGCCAGAGGTATGTACAGGGTGGAATTTTGTAATACCACCTGGAGGGAAAGTACTCTTAATATTGTAGAAAATTTTTTCTCAAATAAACATTCCTTTATTTTTAAAAATAAATAGAACTGCATTCAAAGATTTCCAAAAATTTGCTTGCCACACCCGGCAATCGAACTAACTGAATTCTGTTAAAAATTACAACCTGTATTTTTATTACATTGATCGTTAGGGTTAAGTATAAGGATGAAATCTCTCTAACAAACTTGATAAATTAAATGAAAGGAAAACCATGAAATCTTAAATTATTTTAATTATGTACAGAATTTTGTATGGTATGGTAATGAATTTTCGAAAAAAAATCAAAAATCTGAATGCAGTACTTTTTCTTTTAAAAAATAAAGGAATGTTTTCTTTCAGTAAAATTTTCTATCTACAATATTAAGAGTATGTACTTTCCCTCCAGGTGACAGTTCAAAATTCCACCCTGTATACGAGACACGGGACTATTCCCTTCGCTGCAACTCCTGTGTAGCCAGGATCTACAGCTTGAACAGGAGCTTGTCCTGGGAGGAAAGTTTAACTGTCATTGGACCCGCAACGAAATTAATCAGAAGAACAGGAGGAGTTCGAAGTTAAAGTTCGACTTTCGTCCTGCATGTTTAAGAGACAGTGTGAAAATTTGTCGTTTTCAATTTGAATACTGATGTATGGAGCATAAGCTTCCTTGACATAGTCTTGTTAACAGTTTAGAAAAGACACCCGTTCCGTCTCCTGTTTTTTTAGTCGAAACTGCTGAGAACATTCTCGGTAAAAGTTGAATTCACTAAAAGAATACTTCTGTGGGTTCAATTCCGCATATTATTTGTATGTAGCTTGCGATGCGGTAGAAGCGCATGGGTGATGTTATTTCATTACTAAAAAAATGTATGACGCTACTTCTGAATACGTCAATGACAGGAGTTAATGACATATTGTTGACATGTTTGCTGACTGCGATTGGTCTAAGTTGAAGTCATCCCTCAAATTTAACATACCAATTTTTGTGTCAGAAAATAAAACGTGACCTTTTTTCCTTCAGGGTTGGACATCCCTCACGTGCGCCACGTGATCAACTTCGACCTGCCGTCGGACGTGGAGGAATACGTGCACCGCATCGGTCGTACCGGCCGCATGGGCAACCTGGGCGTGGCCACCTCCTTCTTCAACGACACCAACCGCGGCCTGGCGCGCGACCTGGTGGAACTGCTGGTGGAGGCCAAGCAGGACGTGCCCAAGTGAGTCCCATCATCATCGTCAGGTCATTCAGTCTTCACTGCAGAAACACTATTATCTATCATGTATGATTTTGTGGAGGGATTATGACCATACTCCTTTTCGGATGCTGCAAAATTAATTGTCAACATTGTTAAAAGTTGACAACCTTATTCCAAAGCTACTGAAAAGATGTGTTGCGAACTTATTGGCTACTTTCACAAACTATTTGACACTGACTGTAAATTTTCACACAAATCTCGAGTTTTTTTTATAAATTACTGTGGTCTAATTGTGAAATATGCATTCAGACTTATCAGATGCAGACGTTGTAGTCGTTTCATCCACGAAAACGCGCCCCACCATTCTTCCGCTAATGTTTGAGTGTTATCGGTACATGCTAAATCATCCATGTGCACACGCACACTACAATAATGACGCTCAGATTGCTCCGATCAAACTCCCCGCGCCCCGCGCTTCCCTCGACCAAAAATTGGTGGGGCATGTAGTGTACCTAAATGTGCACACTGGCTCACCGTCACACCAAGCGTCTCACTGCGGCACGTCCGTACTCGCCGGCGTCTGCCGTACGACTGACTCGTCCCACTCGTAACGACGTCACGTGACTGCCTATCACTTGTGTACGTGAGACAGCGTATTGTATCTATCTAGTACGTAGATACAAACACTACAGGGCACGTCTTCGTGGATGAAACGATATAGTACATCCAGAAGGACATGGAAGATACCCGGTAGATAGATGACGTCATTAGTGTGTCAAGCCGTTCAGCTTCTATTGATAATCGTGCTCGAACTTTTGCTATAAAACTTTTAGGAAACTACTTTTAATTTAAGATGTGCGACTTGACTAATATTTCCCACGTGTGTTCCAGTTGGCTGACCAGCACAGCCGCCGACGGGCGCCTGGGCGGCGGCGGTCGGCGCGCCGGCGGCTCCCGCTCCGGCGGCGGGCGCTTCGGCGGCGCCGGCTTCGGCGCAAGGGACTTCCGTACCCAGCCGCGCCAGCCGCCGCGCTCCGCCGGGCCCTCTACTATGGGAGGCTCAGGTTGGTGAAGCTTTTTGTTGTTTTAGAAATAAGATAGCAGAATGTGTCGAACCTGTTTATTGTACTCATCATCATCACTTATTAAGCCATAGGATGTCCACTGCTGAACATAAGCCTCCCCCAATGACTTTCACAGCGTACGATTGGTAGTGGCCTGCATCCAGTGCCTTCCTGCTACCTTTATCAGGTCGTCGGTCCACCTTGTAGGTGGACGTCTCACGCTGCGTTTTCCGGTACGTGGCCTCCACTCCAGAACCTTGCTGCCCCATCGTCCGTCAGTTCTACGTACTATCTTAATCCATTAACTAAAGTTTATTGTACTAAGGGTTGCAAATTACATTACATTATGATACAGTTTCATAATAGACGTGTAAGATTTTTATAAAACCATTGTCTTGGAAATAAATGTTTTAAAGGAAAGTAAACACCTACGGATAGCACGAAAAACTTTCGAGTTCGAATCGTTTGCGTATTCGAATCGCCATCAAAAGATAGTCGGCAAATACTCAGCAATGCCACCCTATCTAAAGCCTTTTGTTTGATGCCAAGTAGAAACTAACTCAAGATAAATATTGTCCCTCAGGATTCGGCGGCTACAGCGGCGGCGGGTCGTACGGCGGCAGCTACGGCGGCTCGTACGGCGGCGGCGGCGGCGGCGGCAGCGGCGGGCCCGACTGGTGGGACTCGTAAGCGCCGCCTCACCGCGCCATCCTCTCGGGACATCGACACGACTCACCCCTCTCTTTATTATGCCTGGTTTAGACACAGCGATAACCGCGCGGTTGCCGCCTCAGCCAATGAGAATCACCCAAAAACCGCGCCGTTATCGCGCGTGTCTGAACTACGCCTTACTTACTCCACCCGCGTCCATGTCGCCCGCCCCCTAGGCTGTATGAAATTTTTGTCAATATCAACAATTTACTAATAAACACCCATACGACCGTACCGTGTAATGTTTCAGTGTGTGATCTATTGTTGCACCACTTTCGCATTAAGTATATTTAGTCTTATATCGTATTTTATAGTTTCGTTTTTTATTTATAGATCTATATGGCGAGGTGCCAATGTTATAAACGTCCAAGGCTAAAGTCTCACTGTGGTCGAGGGAGTATGCAATAACCCGTCGCATCCCAGTGATAACGTAATGCGGTAACTTACTGCGGGTCCCCAATCGTGTCGATGTCCCGAAGGCCGAGGTCCGCTGACGATTCAAGACACGGGCGGGTCTCCTCCGTACCGGCCGCGTGATATTGCACTCTAGCAATTTTAACTCATGATCGCAATTTTAATAGAAATATTATATTTTAAATGGATTTTTAAATAGCACGCAATAACCTATTTTATGAATTCCAAGTAAATAGTGTTACGATGTGAACCGATATGCTTTACTTCTATTTTTATATTTTATACACGAGAGGTCGGGGCCGGTACGGTCCATATGAGTCGTGGCGTTGCCCATCACTATCTATCTATACCTACGATACTGTATGATGCCAAAGCTTGTCATCTTGTCGTCACAAAATGCGAAATTACAATGATGATTATGGTCTCGGTTCCCACGTTTCCTTACCGACTAGTGTACTGTAGCAGCTTCTGTACGAGGATAGCGTTAAGTGGCCATGGCGTCGCGCCGTGGCGAGGGAGGGGTGTTAGATTAATTTTCTCTTATCGGTTTACCGAGAGTCGGACTGAAATTGCCCCGTGATTACTGATAGTGTTTGTACTAGAGAGCGGTGCGACTGAGCGCGCTGGCCCGCCGCGCTGAATCTCTACGATTAGCATAAATTATGACAATCACGAATCATTTGTGTCATGTCTCTCGTGACCCGCACGCGTTTATGATTTGAATAACGATTATGTGAGTAGTCGACTATTAATATAGAAATATTTTTGATGTTCGATCTGTATCGTGAATTCCTAATGAATGATGTCATTGTGTATTTTCTATTTTCTGACGGTCTCATCGCTGAACTTCACTCCTGACACCGGAATTTTGAAGCATTTATGCACTTAAAATCGATGTAGCTATTGATGCAGTAGATTTAGAAATTGAAAAGTACCGATACAGTATCATAGAGAATAATTACTAAATTTTGTCTGTAGAAATCCATATTGTAACATCTGTCATCGACGTGGTCTATAATTTGAATGTGAATTTACCAATAAAAATTAAGAAACACTATATTCAAGTTTTTTCATTTCAAAAACCTATACTTTATCCCTTTACCACGCTTTATTACACGAAGTTGTTTAACACCATTCACCAATAATTCTAAACAACTTTTTTAAAACACACTTTAATCTGGTCTTAAAAACTCAATTAATTTTAAATCAACTACAACCCTATTGCTATTGCCCTACAAAATCTATCCCACATAATACATACAAACATTCAATTTACATTTAATATGGAAATTACATTTTAAACCAGTGTTCATCCCGGGTTTACTCGTTTTGTCAGTTTATAAAAGTACATCAATTGATTGGTGGTGACAAAATACCCTATTGCGTGTTATGCACTCTGCCGATAAATGCGCTCCCGGCTCGTGCAAGCAAACACTCTCTGAATGACGGTGTTTGTTTCGATAAGTAGTGTGTGTAATGGAAATTAGTAAAAAAAAATACGAGTGGACTGTATGAAATTATAATTCTATTAACTTTTATTATTATAAATTACAAGGTAAGACCATTTAATACGAAGTTGTTGAAGAGAGTGACCTAAAGGTGCTGTTCCTTGATATTCGCCTACGAGCTGAATATTGCTCGTTAGTTTGCAGAACGTTCGCCGCTGCCTCTGCCCTCTGGTCCACATCGCCCACGGGCTATGTCCGTACGTATACAGACGGTTACTGAAACAAAAACAATCCTCGTTCTGGCGCAGCCGAGGAACAACAGGTATGCTCTCTCTCTCTAATCTTTTGTTTACCCGACCTGACTTAACCTTTTCAGCGTCACGTCAAATACAAAAGCAATCACTGACGCCACGCACGCTTGATAAACATTGTATTAATTATTATTCAGTTTACATAATACTCAATTAGCCTATTACTGACATCATTTTTAAGGCGGATTCATCCGTCGTTGGCGGTCAACCCGATGTACGCATGTATCCGTCATTGGCGTTGAAAAGGTTAAGGAACACTACCTAAGCCTAGGCGCAGACCACCGACTGTTAGTTGGCCGATAGTTGGGTCGGGCTGTTAATCAGTATGACAGTGCGCAAAGTATACACCGATTTGGTATCGGCCAAATCATTATATTTTTTTTATCCACAACGAGGAAGATCTTGGCCTGTATCTCACCTGATGGTAAGTGATGATCAGGCCGAAGGTGGAAGTGAGCTTCACCCGGAATCCTCAACCACGGAGGAACTGGCTATCTTACCTCTAACTGCCGGAACAATTATGTTAACATTGTTGTTATGGCGACAGACTTAAGTAAGATGGTGGTAGCTAGCCAGGCGGACTTAGAACAAGCCTTACCACCAACCAAACCGAACAGAAAAATCTGCCCCCACTGGGAATCGAACCCGGGACCTCTGCGTCTGAAGCAGGTGGTTTTACCACTAGATAACAGAGGCGGTTATTAAAATCGGGCCCAACTAAAAAATCCGTTAGTGGTCTGCGCCTAGGGTACCTAAGTAGGGGAAAGTAGTACGAGATGATCCCCTTAATGTATATGTATGCTGTAAANATCATTATTTGGTTTTATAACCATAAAATTTGGTCTAATTGATCCCAGAGGTGAGCCCAAAGTGAGGTCTTTTTTCAAGTCACATTTATGGTATATGTTAATCATTTATTAAGAAATTAAATGTGTTTTTCTTTAAGGATATTTATTAGGCTTTCAAATAACACCAATATTGTTGGGGCACCATTATTGTGTCAAAAGAAAATCTTTAAAGTTCGCGTCGCGGGTGGTGCGATTTATTTGCTGTCGAGTGTAGTTCTAACATAGGACCCGTTATTAAAATAACTGAATACATTCGTGCTCAACAAACATTTTCTCCTTCCGCGGAATGTGAACCTGTGAACGAACTGACTGCAATCCAGTATGCCTAATTAACCGAACGGCCATCAATTAAATTAGTCGATCAACCACTAGATATTTTTCGAATGTGTTTCACTAGCGCTTGTCAAATATCAGCGGGCGCCTATGTCCGTCCGTCTGTTTCAGATTTCATTATTATTAATTTATCTCATCGATTACGACCGGTAATGGCCAATGGCTTATTGAATGCGTCTTTTTGTGGCGCCTTTTTATTTGGAGATCGCGTCTAGAGCGGGCGGGACCCCGCCGCGAAGGCATCCACGGAATGCCTAAAAGGTGACTCGTGGATAAATTACGGGCATTTCTTCCATTTTAACGATTCCCTTTATTATTTAATTTATTTTTATTGTATGTTACACATTTGGCTTGTAACAATGTTTGTTTTTGGGACTCATTAGCATAAGGCTCACGCTGCGGTCGGGGTAAAAAATTAGAGGCGCAGCCATTTTGATTTTCCGATAGGTTTTATCTTTTAACTGCTATTCTGTGGCCACGTGTCTAATAAAGGGATAGTGGGATGTCTCAATTTAGTAATTTGTCGGTTTTTTATTGCTTCGCGCTGGTGACATAATAAAACAATTAATTTATTATTGGCTCGCCCGACGTTGCCCACAGGGCGGTGGTGCGCGCGGCTGGACATTATTAGTTTTATGTAAGAGGTAATTTTATTAATTGCTCGTTGATGGAGTGGTCGTCGGGGTCGTTAAGGCGTCTTCCCATGCGGGAACAGTCGATAATTGGCAGGCAGCTCTGTATAATTTTTATTACATTGTTATTTAAGTATCTCCTACACATTTTAAACTTCGGACTTACTTTGTTCCTGCTTATAAATGGTGCTTACAAATCGACTATCAGTACAACAGTATCTTTATAAGTGGGTTTAAAATATGAATCCATTTTTTTTTAATTACCAAATAACGGTTAACTCGCCTTACCGCTGGGGTGCGATTCCGGTTCGACTAACTAACACCACAACTAACACCTACTAGCTACGAGTATTTGTCAAATCAACAGAACCTAATATTTTGGTGCGATTTATCATGATCCCTATAGTTCGTAGTTGATAGGTGCACAGTAAAACAGCATTTACTTGGTATGGTTTTGAGTAACAAAATGGAAAAGTACGTCTTGTGAAAAAAACCTACTTTTCCTTTTTGTTCTTGGCCCACAATCTGCGTGTCCGCCACAAAACAAAACACTCGAGCTTTCGTGGACCGTTTAATAGCTGTGATTAGGCGCGATAAGATCAAGCTATTTATAATGAACATGTCTGTGGCCGGGGCCGCTTAAATCTCGATAGAGAAGACCGCGGTAAAAAATCTACAAAGGTTACCTACGATGACGATATTCGAACTCATATTTAGAGTCCATGCATAAGCTTAATTCAAGGCATGAATTCAATTCAATTTCAATACTAGACACATGGACTAACCACAGTCTTGGTGAGAAGGTTAATATGTAATTTTGATCGAAGCTTTTTGAGATCGATTTATTGACGTCGCACAACACTGACTTCGTTTTAAAAATTACTTACTTATTAATACGTGTCACATTACAACATTATATTACTTAGATTATTAAAATTATAAAATATCTGCAGGGAAAAAAAATAACAGATTGATTATAGAGAGTTCAATATGATTGTGGTAAAAATAAAGCTCTATTTTTTAGGTACAGTCAAAGGATCATTTATCATTACAAAAAACTAATGAACTGTTTCTGTGTTGGCAATTTGTTCAAATGTCATTCAAATGTTTTCAACCACATGGTAAAGGCTGGTTAAACAATGGCAGCCTTGGAAATTATGTTTTTGCCCAAATTCAATGTAACAATGAGCTGGGCCTCCTTTGTGAATGGAATAAAAGGCAATAAATCAGCAACAGGCTGTCCATTGCACAACTATGAAGTGGTTATTTACAGCGCCAATTAAACATTTTACTGTCTTATAATAATTTATTGCGTTTTCTTATCAGTTACTGGGTAAACAAATCTTTAAAAAAATAAGGTTTATTACTGTCCGTCATTATGATTTATGAAGTCCCACACTGATTAGGTAGGCAGGTACATAGGTACGTAACTTAATGAAAATACTTGCATTAAAAGCTAAATATTATCCCAACTAATATTATAAATGCGAAAGTAACTCTGTCTGTCTGTCTGTCTGTCTGTTACGCTTTCCCGCTTAAACCTCGCAACCGATTTTGATGAAATTTGGCATAGAGATAGTTTGAGTCCCGGGAAAGAACATAGGATAGTTTTTATCCCGGTTTTTGAAACAGGGACGCGCGCGATAAAGTTTTTCTGTGACAGACAAAATTCCACGCGGGCGAAGCCGCGGGCGGAAAGCTAGTATTCCTATATTCGTAAAGTTGAGATCATTGAAACTAACATCAAGACTTCCATATACCTATAAATTATAGGTCTACGAGAGTAAAATAGCAGAAAGAGTTCCAAATAAATCTAAAAAAAAATGTACTAAGTAGGTAACTTTATCGAAATCTAACATTGAACGCTCATGCTGTGAAAAGCCTATCTTAGGTTTAACTCTACCAATTAATATTAAAATTGCTATACGAATATCAAAGTTACCATTAATAAATGAGTTAATGAAAGTTAAAAAAGCTGAAGTTTTTTAAATAGTATAGAAAAACGTAAAAACAAAAACTGTAAAATCTTGAATTAGGTAACTTATTTCTTTGTTAATTTTAGTTACGAACTGCTTTTGTTTCTATTTTTTCCAATCGGTCATAAAACATCCAGCTTAAAACAATACGCCATAAAACTGAACCAATGTGAAACTTTTACAACACATTTTAACAACGAATTGAGGGAATGTAATAGATCTGTCACAGAATCAGTAACGCCCAACTAAAATGTATCGTTCTATTGTCACCAACGTCACCGAGTCCACAAAAGGAGACAAAGGTTCTACAGACAATACTTGCACCCAACGTCTTGTTTGGGAAACATACTTTGTGTCTAATAATTGTTGAGTGAAAATCACTAGGCCACCGTGACGATCCCGGTGTGGCACGATCGGAACCATAAATCACTTGCAAATGACAAAATGGGTGACAATGAAGATCTTAGAATCTGGATCCAACAATGCACTTTAGTTCTTCGTACTATGAAGT